AAAACCCCCCCCCCCCCCCCCCCCCTATCGTGCTCGATTTCCAGGTGGTGGTTCAGCATGTTTTTGTACGTGCGGTAGAGAGGTTCGTAGACAAGAAGTTGCGGGCTACGCACAAGAGTTCGGAGAACCCTTGAGGGTTGTTGGGAGACAGACGAGGGAAATCGATGGGCGAGATACAGCTCAAGGCGAGCCGGCTCCTATCCTCGGTCTCCCGTTCCTACCGACGCGGGCCGAGTGTATGCAGTCTGTCAACCCCATCCTTCTCAAGCAGTATGTACCCCCTTCCGAGCCCGATGGATATCTAGTAAAGATGGCTGTTTCCTTCGCCCCCAACTTTGCTGACCCCCTCTCTGCTGATCCAGTCTGCTGAGCCCCTCTACCGACCCCTGCCCCCCGTTGCGGGTCCCTTTTTGGACAGGGACGCTGAAGTACGTGACAGACCGCCGACCCCCTATCGTGGAATTTTTTCTTGGTGTCCGTATGCAGTGGTGTGGCTCCTGTTTAAGAGAGGGTCGCAACGAGCCAGTAGTTCAAATGTAAAAACCGAAGGCAAAGTACCGCAGGAGGACGGGGGGGTAGGGGGCCTCATGGATAGGAACCCTTCTGTGTGACCACGGCTTGGAGTAAACAGCAACAAGTGCTGTGAGCGCTGATTTGAAGTGAAGACAGAAATAAAAAAACTCCCTGAAACCGTAGCCACCACTGTTGTAACGAGTTCCTGGTGCCTACCGTAGGTTGCGTAAGATATCACACCCCCTGGACCGATTTTCAAAGCTCGATTACTCCACGACGAAGAGGATGCCGAAACCAAAGGATACGTTTTCGGAAAGTTCCCGACGACACGGTTCTAACGCCGCCATTTTCGGCACCGTCAGTGCTCTTTTTCCTGCCGAGAGTTCGAGCTTTCGGAAATCGGTCCAGGGGGTGTGATATGTTACGTCATGTAACCTACGGTACAACCCTAACCCTGACCCTATTCCTTACCCCTTCTGTGGTTCCCCACCCATTATCCAGGGCTGTCTGCTGATCGCCACGGAGGAGATCGACAGTGGAACGTTCCACCAGTCCGTCATCCTCGTCCTCAGTCACGCGAGAGACCAGGGCACCCTGGGCCTGATCCTCAACCGCCCGGGGCCGCAGCGGCTCCGCTCGCTGCCTGGCCTGCAACCGGACCTCGCGGAAGTCTTCGGAGATTCGCAGGTGGGAAAAGGAGAGGAAGCACGGGCTTAGTTTCCAGCCGTGTTTTTTTGTTTGCTGTGGGGGCGAGCACGATCGTTTTTCGCCGACCGTGTATTGTTTGTGGTGGGAGCGTGGGCCGCCTCTCTTCCACCCGTGCTTGTTTGTTGTGGAAGCAAGCATGAATATTTTTTCAGCCGTAAATGTTTGTTGTGGTTGCAGTGAGATCCCTAGCTTGTGTGCTGCGCCCACCCGCGCGCGTGGGCAAGCACCAGCACGAATAGCTACATGTAGCAGGCAGGCCGTGAGCATTCCCCATCTTTGAGCTCGCTACACCCACTTTGAGCTCGCTACATCAGTAAATTTGGAGGACAAAAATGTCACATTGTTGTCGAAGAAGGTGCAACTGAACATCCCAACTCGGTGCGTTCTGTAATATGTTGGAGGTTCGTTTGGGTCAACGCGCATGTACTTTTTGTCACTGGTTTTGGCTCCCTCCTTCCATCGTGTTGTTGTTGTTGTTTTGTTGTTGTTGTTGTCTTCACATCAAAAACCGTTCCGTGTTGTACTCGGCTTATTTTGAGTCTAGTCATGCCTGCACACAAAATGAAGTATAGGAGTACTGCCGGCTGGTGCTAATAGTAATAGACGTTCTACGAAACGACTCTGTTCACCTTGTTTTGGTTGTTGTTGTGCTCTCAGGTTTTTGACGGCGGACCCATGGGTCTCGGCACGATGACCGTGCTGCACGACGCGAACGTGGAGGGGAGCGACCCCGTACTGGACGGAGGCGTTTTTGCAGGGGGGTTCGATACCCTGGTCGACGTCACTCGCCAGGTTGGTTCTTCTTTGTATTTTTTTCTTCTTACGAAAATGAAACTATTGATTCATTGCTAACCTGTACCCCGGACTCGCCATGTGCGGAAGAGATGAATTTTTGTTGCGTTGTTTCAAGAAAATAATTATTGTATCTTCTTGTTATCCACGGATGGATATATTTGGTTAGCTATTATCCACAGCCGTGTTGGCTGACCTTCCTGCTCGTTGTATGTTTCTTTACCTGCCGGCCCGGTCTCTTTTTTGTCACGGCCGACATCGGTTGCGCGTAACCTCCTCCCCACCGGTACAGTAAATAGCTGTCGACACAACCAATACTACCGTAGGTGACGTAAGATATCACGCCCCTTTCGGCCGATTCTCGTAGCTCGATCACCCACGTCGAAGAGGATGCATGAACCAAACGATATATTTTCAGAAGGCTCTCAACAAACCGGTTCCAATGCCGCCATTTTTAGCACCACCATTGGTTTTGCTTGTGGAGTAATCGAGCCTTCAATTTCGGTCCTGGGGGGGGGGTGATATCTTACGCAACCTAAGGTATTCCGTGTTCCGTACCGCGAACACCGTTGTCATGGTCGTCTCATAGAGTCGTTCAGTAATTGGTGACGCTGGCCTCTACCTGGAGTTGGTGTGCGAGTGTACTGGCGTCAAGTCTTGCCGCAAAGATCGTTGTTGTTGTTGCTGTTGTTGTTGCTGCTGCTGCTGCTTGTTGTTGTTGTTGTCATTGGTGGTGTGTTGTTGATCATTGTGATGCTCGGTCGCACTCGCAACGATTTTGCTCTAATCTCCTCTGCGATCATGGTCCCTCCGGAGCAGCCATGGAGACCTCCCTGTAGCTTCCATCCAAACACTTACGCACCCCTCCCTTCCAAACCAAAAATCTGTGGTGCCCCCCCCCCCCTGACGGGACCCCCTTGAGCAGGGGACGGTGTCTAAAGACCGAGTTCGATTCGTGCACGGGCATTCCGCCTGGTCACCGGGGCAGCTGCAGGGAGAGCTGGACCACAATCAGGTGTGTGCACTTGTGTTTGCGCTTTGCGTTTGGTTGTTGGGCTTTGGCTTGGGTCGTTTTTGTGACTGACCGCCATGGCCGTTGGTTGTAGTGGTGCGACAGGCGGGAGGCATCATCTGCTATCGGGGACTTTTTACTTGTTCAGATATCTTAAAAAAAATTGTGAGATACTAGTTCATACCACCAGTTACCACAGCACCGCGAAACTTGGATTCGTTGCTTTTAATAAAAGCATGCAAGAGAAAGTTCGTTCCTGAAGTGAAGGACGAGGCTGTCGGTGCTTCATCTAGTTCTGTGTTGTACAGGTACACGTGCTGGTCACGGAGAAAGCCCCATGCAATGTTGGTTGTCGTCTTGTACGGTGATTGCCTATACGTCGTATCGGGAGGTGTCGTCTACTGCGAAGCAGCGTTGGGCGGGCGTTGTGGTGTTGAGTGCTAGGTTTGCTCCAAGCATCGAAAGCCGCGCTGAAAATCTGTTGCGGCAAAAGTCGAACTTTGCGAAAGGTCGGCCTTAACGAAAGGACCCTGGGACTTGAGGCATTTCCCCCCTTTTTCTTACACTTACAAGAACCGAGAGAGCTTGTCACTATCCACAGGCAACCGTCCTGGATGAATAGTGTTGCTGTTTTCGCTCATGCTGTCTGCGCTTCTGCTCCATGTTTTTCGAGTTTCGTGGTCTTTGTGTACCACCGGTTTGGACGGTATTTTTTTTTCTTTTTTTAGGACTGGTGGCTTCTGTTGGTTGGAGTTTTTCATCCTCGTTGTTTCAGGGTTGCCGTTTTATTTTCGTATTTGTTTTCTTTCTTTGTTTCCGCTTTTTTGCCGCTTTTTTGTGCGTGACAGTGGTTCGTGGCCGCGGCGGCACCGGAGCTGATCACCGAGCACTGCGATAAGCCCTTCCACCCGCTCTGGACCAAGGTGACAAGCTTTTTCTCGTTGTTTTTTTGCGTCTGGGCTATATAGCGAGGGTTGACGTACTTTTTTTCCTGTACCCCCCCCCATCCCCCCCTGGTCCGGTGAGAACCCGGCGTGCTCCGTCCCGGCTTTGTAGGGATGCGAGGTCAATGGTCTACCGACTACGGCATGCACGACTATGAGTACCCCGCCCCCCCCCCCCCCAAGGTTTGGGGGGGGGGGG